CAATCTTTTGAACTCTGCTTTTGATGTCAATAAAAGGAACTCGCTGTTGTTCTCGAGGAAATTAGAAATGTTTAGCACTTTTCTTATCATGTGTACTCAACCAGGAAAGCATCCAAAGCTGTGTCCTAGTAGAGTATGGTCTATGACGTGGGTTCAATATGTGGCAATCCAAAATTCTTAATAATATACAAAAACATGCAATGTTTGTGAAGCAATGCAGTGGGTAGTGTAAGATCTACCTTTTCGTTGAACTTGCTATCTGCTTATTTGAACATTTTACATAATTGGTCTCACTCCAAATATGTAGCTCACAAGTGAGCAGCATGAGCAAAACTTAATTTGTATCACTCAGTTCTATTCTCAGCCAAAGTAACAAGTACCAAGTACATCTTACAAAGGTTTATAAAGGTCTAGGACTACTTCACCCTTGCTTTAAGATATTGGGGCAGATTCTTAGATACGTTCACATGTGGCAATCCTATAATACCTATTAAATAAACATATAAGATTGGTGGAGAGAGGTATGCAAGTGGAGAAAAGGAGAGACAAAGTGACAGAACAAGCATTTCAAATCCCAAAACTCTTCTTATAGATGGTCAGTAAATATATATTTATTGAGTTTTGCTGTAGAATTGCAAAAGGATCTTCAAAATGCTGGTTAAGCAGTTGAAAATAGGATTTCTCAAGAAAAGAAGCTACCATAAGTTACTGATTCACCTTATATCTTCAGATGTTAGTGCCAGACTCCGTGTTAAACTCTCAACTTCCTTCAGTAAGCCACTATCACGAACATCAGCTAGCATAGGTTGGACATCCTCAGCCATGGCTTTAATCTGAGGTGTCACTACATCAAAGGTACAATGTTCATACATGAGAATATACTAAATACCTGCAAGGAACACATAAATTGCTCAAACAGCATAATAGGATGAGTGCAACCATATGCCCGACATTCCGCTGTTTCAGATCTCCCCTCCCCCTCTATAAATGGTCCTAAAGCTTGATACTGATGAATGTGGTATAGAAATACTCACAGATTTACACTTATCACCTAACATCTGACAAACGAATAATAGTTGTGCACTTGCTTTCGACATATTACTTAGAATATGCACTACATGACACAGTAGTGTGCTGAATGAACATCAATAAGTCCAAACTGGGTTAGACTAGATTTTGTCAAGACGAGAGCATTTTTCTGTTAATAGAGATGGTTGCATGAAGTACATACTGTTAGTTTTTGACAGAATTCTCGAACAGATACACATACTAGAACTAATAATAGTCAAACAAACTTATAAAAACTAATCTCGTTTTATGAAGCACTTGTTTAATAGTTTCACTTTGTTCAAAACAAGATATTCTAACTCAATTCAGTTTTTCATGCGCATCTCAGAAATAATCCTTCATAAAAAGAATTGCAAAGCAATCAAGCAGATCTTGTCTGACAATCCATTTGCATTTCTCCTCTGCCCAGGTCAGATACTTGGGGTATAATATAATTTGGGCTTGCCCAAGCTAATGACCTCAGTAGTCAACCTCTGCACTTCCAGACACACATTACTTCACAAGCTCTTTCAACTTAGAGTTCTCCAAAATTAAGTGGTATCCAACTTACAAATTTCATCACAGTGAAACATTTACACCAATGCTCTTTATACAGATGCTGTCAAAGAGGATTGAAGTCCATAACATCGTAGTACAACCCATACATCACACGCTACACTTTTATAGGGTGTAGACGTGTAGCACATATTGCTTTGGTGGAAAGAACAAAGTTGAAATGTGTGATTTAACCTCAGCTTAAGATAGCGGCACTTTTAAAAATGTTCCCACACATGACACTTGGTCTTCAAAGCAAAAGTAATGAATTTATTATTATAAAGGATGTTATGAATTGTAAATTGAGAAGAGCAGAATTTCAACAAGTTAAATCATTCCATAACTATATTATAAGCTAAAAGTACAGAAGTTAAATTCAGTCTGTTTGTCAGATGTCCTTCTTTACTCCTTGAAATTAAACATCATCCATGCAAAGAGAAAAAAAATGGGAGATGAATAAATGTAAAGTGCATCAGACCTTTGTAAGCAGCGGCCGTGCCTCCTCAATAACATTTAGAGCTCTCTCAGCCAAAGCATAGGTGTTCGACAGACCAATTTCTTCTGCTTCACGACCAAGACGTGTGAATATTCCAACCAATGCATCTAGACTAACCCCTTGTTGTCCTTTTATCTTTTGCCTGTCGCAAATTATCAAACCCTCCTTAACACAATCCGGATCCAGGGGCCCTGCAGAAGGTACTGGGATTGGATCTTGAGGTGTGATATCAATCATGGTTTCCATGATAAGACCAGATTGGTTCACCTCAACTAATGAGTTTCGAGGAATAATTATCTTATCATCTTCAACCTATAAACACATAATCAATGCTTAAGATCAAGACATACACAAGCAACTATGGAACAACTACTTATTACTTCAAAAGAAGTATATATAAAACAGTAAATGTGTTCAGCAAATATACATGTTGCTCACCTCAACAACAGCTTCAACATTTCTCAAAGAAGGATTGACTCGAATCACATTGCCAATACTTACTCCTCTGATTCTAACAGGTGTGCCAGTGCAAATACCACAAGCCTGCTCAAACTCAAGCACAGCTAAATACTTCCTAAACCTAGACCGCAGCTGAAACCCTCTCAACCAGGCCAAGCTGAGTGCCAACAACACCGTACCCGAAACAATAAACAACCCAACCCCACCTTCCCAGATGCTCCTTTTTCCAAACCCAAAATCACTCAATGGACGCATAGTTCGCTTCCATATATTCCTGGGAACATCTAAAATAACAGAAAGCGGACCTTTCTGGTCGGAAGATGAACCTGGTTGTTGCTCTTGTTCTTGACTATGACCCGTATTTGCAGACATTGATTTCACACTAAAGGTTTGATTTTTAGGCCTGATTGGCGATTTTATACACAGAAAACGATCACCCAACACATTTCCTCTACTGGGTATGATGGGAAACACAGAAGAATTTGTTGATACATGGACTAAAGCATTTCCAGCCATCATCTGCTTTTCTTTTTGCCCCTTCTATCTGTTACCTTTCAGCACTTTTCTGGTTGTATAGACAAAAATTGAGCTGGAGATATTGAAAATAGAGATTGAAGATCAACAAAATGTTAGCATATTGGATGGTTCAAGCTGGAAGCAACCCTAGCGCAGATCAACGACTGACTGAATCTGTAGAACTATCATCACTGAGAGGAGAGCGGATAGAAAATGGGCTGGGCTGATAAAGTGAAAATAGGCTAACCAGATCTTGTAGGCCCATGTGAGACAGATTAGATGTTTTGGGCCTTTATAGCACAAGAAAATGGATAACTTACCAAAATCCTACTAGTTTATGAACTAATTACTTAGATATACCGTAGTTTGCAAAATTATGAATCTTATCGGATTTTTGGTGTGTTTAAATACATGTGTATCGATATAAATGTAGTCAAATTTGAGTGTAATTTGTTCTAGATACATTGTATTCAAGTGGATTTCACATGTATATGGATACATATACAACTCTTGTTCGCCTCCTCCTATCTCGTTCGGTACTCTCATATCTCACTTGCATATTTGGTATTCGAAATACATGTGAATCACACCAGGTACATCTAATGTGATTCACATATGTTTTAGATACATAGATAAATCTCATTTACCTCCCTTTTGTTCTCACTCGCTTCTCTCTCTCTCTATTTTAGTGTATTTGATAGAGAAAAAAACATGTATCTAAGTGTATTTAACTTGAAATCTGATATCAAATTATTAATTAGTCAAATAAAATATAATTATCTAAAACTACTAGAGAATTAGTAATTATGATAGGAATGTTTGTATAATTAAGTAGTTTTTCCTATGGAAAATGGGTCATTCGCATAAAATTTCACGAAGTATGCTATTTTGGTCTCGACATTTAGGTAATACCTATTAAATAAGTATCTAATATTAAACAGTTTTCAGGTGAAATAAATGAGAATAGAGAGATACTTTTTAGGGAAAATTGTATGAAATAGTAAACATTTAATTAATATTAAATGTTATAATCATAATTTTTATTTTATTTTTTGTAATTCGCATCAAACTTTTCATGTTTTTTGCTATCTGGCGGGACCCCCTCGAAAGGTATATTTTTATATAAGAATTCCCTTTATACAATTATGTGTTGTATAAAAATTAATCGTATATATATATATATTGCATTTGTTTGTACATAATTTGTTGTTTGTATATATGTCATAGTTATACATAACAAGACTTGTCTGTATAACCTATTTATGTATATATGTAGTAATTTAGTTTATATACAATTACTATGTTTTAGTTTGTATACATGTCAGTATACAGATTACCGAAATATACAAATCAATAGTTTCATAACAAACATAAAATTTGTTATGGAGCACAATTATGCAAACTATATCTATAGCATACAAATATGATTTTTATCTTTGCTATACCTAAAATTTGCTCTATTTTTTATCCGTCTACATAAAAGCAAATTAATTACTGACATATATCGACTTACAAGTTACACAACTATGTCCTCTAAATAATTATAGAAAATGCCGTCCAAACCACAAAAAAAATTATCAATACTATTTATACTGGGATCGTTTCGTTGGGAACAAGTTATCCCATAATTAATTATCCTGGGGTTAGCTATCCTGAGATAACTTATCCCACCATGTATATGAGATAATTTATCTCATCACTATGATATAAATGGTGGGATAAGTTATCCCAAACATAACAACCAAACAAGATACAAAAAATTTATCCTATCACTATTTTCTTATCTTATCACTATTTTTTTTTATCCCATCACTATTTATTTTTATCTCTCACACCAAAGTGCAAATAAAGAATTGTTTTTGGGTGAAAACGTAATTTAAGCATTCTAATTTCTAGTGGCTGGGCTTTTATAACTTCCGCCGTTGTTGCCTCCTTCAAACCCTAAACAAAAATCTGTGAACAAAGCAACCAGAGCTAGAAAAAACAGAGTTCACGGAGATATCTACTTGCGAAGAAAATGGCGAAGTCAATGAGATCAAAGAGGGAAAAGAGGCTGAGAGCTATAAGGAGGGATATAGTTGCTACAGAACCCACTGTTCTTAAGAAAGAAGCTGCTAAATTGGTTGCCCAAGAAGCTGCCCTTGCTGCACCTAAGCTTATTGTGAAGTCTCCCTTCAGCCGCACCACCATGGATACTTCTGCCTCTACTTCTAACGACGATACTAAAATGGGTATGCATGTTTTACTTTTATTTATTTTTCTCCTCGATTCTCTTTATACTTGATTTGGAATAAATATGATATCATATTTGCTAAAAGGCCAAAATTTTGTTGCTTTGGCTGATTCTAGTTTGGAATTAATTTTTTTATGGTTTCATTTTTTTCTTCTGCTGTTACCATTTATTTCCTGTGTATTTTTGGAGTATGATATGTTATTTATATTCATGCGTGTTTGTGGGGTGTGAGATGTTGATAGGAAGGAGTGGTATGCTGTGGGAAAGGTGGAAAACAGAAAATAATGAAAATTTATAGAAAAGGTGTAATACGTATCTTCTGTTTATGTTAGCGAATAATATACTTTGGAAGGATAAAATCCTTTTCAGAAGTGTGTCTTTGAAATAATTAAGCTTTTATATAATATTTGTTCGAGCTTCTGGATAAACAACTCATAGTATGAGTTAGTGTGTATTGAGTACGGCTATGATCTTGGAGATATCATGAATATGGCTATAGGAGATTCATATTTATGTGAAGGTATGTTGTAGCAGACCAGGATACTCAATGATAGTTTCAGTTAGATGCTTGGACATGCTTGCTAGCTTTTCTAGGATTATTGACTGAACAATCATATGAACTCGTTGTTTAGTTGCAGCACAATCATATGAATTCCTATTCTCATAATAAAAGATCATATCAACACTTGTGCTATTCTATGATAGAGAAAACTCTTAGAGAGCAAGGGTTTTAGAATAAGTACAAGCAATAATGTGAAGTTTAATGTTAGATTAGATGGGATTGCACTGCCTAAATGCGAACAATTCATATCTCTAGGGTTGATTTCCCAGGAGTATGGTATGATAGAGGAAGAATGTAACATATCGAGTCAAGATAAGATGGTTGAAATGAAGATGTGTTATCGGAGTGAGTAGCTGATTGGAGAATTTCTGCCACAGTGCTGTCAAATTCCTTAAACAGTTTTACTTTTAAGACCGCTTATGTGATATGAAAGTGAACCTTAGGTTCTTAAGGTCCTAAATTGTTGACATAAAAAGCCACATGCATAGTTGAGGAGTGCACGAGTTGGCCTAAGCACCGCCATTATAAAAAAATGTTTAAAAAATGAAGTAGCAGGAATAATGCATGCAAGCAATCTAACTAATTGGGATTGAGCCATTTTTGTCAACTTTTGAAAGCTGATATTATGATACATAAAATAACTCTTCCTCTTTCACTTTTTAGTTAGTGAATTGTGGCTAGTTCTTAAGATACTCCAGATGAGACCAATTTAAGAGATTGAGACTAATGGTTTAGCCGGTTTAACACTGATAATAGATTAACTGTCAGTTATCAGCATCAACCACTTTGTGTCAGTCTGTATATCCAGTGATTCCAGTAGTGATATGAAAGAAAAAGGAGTTATATGAATTATCTGAAGCATATTGCCACGAAAGGAAGATATCTCGTTACTAGAGTTCATTGAATGCATTAGTTTTACAAGTTTAGCTTGTACAACATCAGTGTGCACAATCAAGACATGTGGGGAACTCCATATCATGCCTTTTTCTTTTGGAACCGAGAAACAGCCCCCAACAATTAGCTTCCTAATATTATTAGTTCCTATTTATTTCTTGTGGAAAGATTAATACATGCGAGTAAGATTTAACTGCTCATTCTACTCCAGTGTTCTGTATCTGCTGTTGCTGCTGAAACTTGCGCACCTGTTTTTTAGCTTCCCCTCAATATGTTATCTTGTCATTGTCTTGATTTCCAGATGTGGAGATAGCCGATGGCAATCAAAGTTCAAAATCTCTAAAACCTCTTGGAAAGAAGATGAAAAAGAAGCTTAAAATAGCTAAGAAGAAGAATCATGGCAAGGGAAAGATCAGGAGGAAGAATGTTTGATTGCAGGCGGTTGCCATCTTGCTAAGCTGATAGATGTCTTGTTACTTACTGTTGACAAGTCCATCCCATATTCTCTCCTTAATTCATGATCTTACATTGTAGTAGTATCTTGGAACTTGAGCATGTGAGTGGATAATGCTCATACAAATTTTGTTTGTGTGCTGTCAAAATGAAGCCTCAAGTTCTTAAATTTGTTTACAAAATAGATCGTATTTTTCATTTGCCTTTTACAGTTTGTTGGAACATGCTAAACTTGCCATGAAATATGAAGATGTAGACTGTAATCCTTAGTTTTCTGATGTAGTTGACGTGGGTTTGTTTTTTGGCTTGACTGTTACACATGGTTCAATATTCACCTTTTCCAATTGTTAGGATGTGTATGTGTTTAAGCACTTTAACGATGTACAAGGATGCAACGGCCAAGTATGACATTATACCCTCAAACAGATAATATTCATATTTAACAATACCAAGTGGTCAAATTATCCATCACAGTGTACTGCAAGTGGTTCATCTGAATTACGTTCCCAAAATAATCTTATATCTATAAATATATCTTATTATATCAAGTCTCCTTAGGGTATTTATTGCCTTACGTTTTGACCTTGACCCTTAAGGCCTTAATGAACACTCTCCCCCACACCCAAGCCTGACAATTTCTTGTTTTATTTCTTCACTTCGCCACTATTGATGCAGGATATCTAATAAAACATTATAATATGAAAACACCAGGTAAACAAAGTGGGGTGGACCTAGCTTTAATACTATGATAAGAAGATGAATTTTGAATTTAACTCAATCTCAAAAGCTTAGCAAAAGTAGCGAAGATTGCCTGATATATTGAAAAAAAAAGACCAAATAACTCATCACCTATGGATGTAGGAACATCTGATATAACTCACTACCATTTACATTTCTACTTTCTGCTGGCATAATGTTTTCTAGTTTTGCCCTGAAATTTTGATGTTCATTCTAAAAAAATTGCATATGCAGTTGCAGAAAATTCATTCAAATTGCATTTCCCTCATAAGCTTACCAATAAAGATTTCTAGTACCTCTACGAACAGATTAAATATTCATGGCCTCTAAACACCAATAGTTCAAACTTAAATATGGGAAACAATTTCGAAAACAAGAATGTGACAGTAAATGGTGCAAAAACATACAGTGAAGATACACATGGTGCAACTACTAAGCTACCTAGCTTCAGAAGATGATCCCTTTGACATTGAAATCTGATGAATTTCACTCAAATGAAAAGTGTAGTCGTTGAACACAAGTTCACCACGGTAGGCAGCTAGCAGTTCAGGAACTTGTGCTTCATATTTAGTAATACACTTCCGTAAGAAGTCCTTTTCACTGATCATTAGAATTGAGGATAGTTTGCCAACTTTTGAAATAGCACCTCTTGACCACAAAACTTGCATGACAGAACACCTAGGAATAACCCTCTTCTTCAGGCTACGCAATAGAAAGGATGGTCGTTGTGACAAGTGTGATAGGCTCAAATGGAGTTTATTAACATAGAATGCCACAATTGCCCTGATATTATCCTCAGAATAAAACATGCAAGTTGGCTGCAATCTGAAAATATTAAGGATCTCACCATCTGAAAAGCCCATACTTCGGTAGTTTTCCAGCTTCCTTTCCATTTTGGAATCATTAAGTACAGACATTGCGGAAAAAGCTGCCCTAAATGCTGGAGAAGTAACATCAAACCCCAATTCCTTAAGTCTCAAGCCAACCTTATTCATCTTTTCGGGATTTATAGTCAAGATAATGGGAACTTTTGAAATAAACTCTGGAACTTGAGAATCAGGAATACCAAGTTGGTGCAATACCTGTAGAGTCTGCTTTAAACCACTTGAGATCTTATAATTAAAGATCTGTGGACTTCGTTTGATGGCAGCCATTGCTTGCATTTCACTACCCATGAACATCTTTAGGGAATCAAAGCATGGAGTCAGTTGTTTCTCTATGCTACTCATAAGTATGTTGGGGTTACCACAGATAATCTTATTGCGTTCATCTTCAGTAAAGCCAATTGATTGCAAGAACTTGAACTTGGGCTTTAGGGTTTTGTCCACCTTCGATACTAGTAATTTAGGGCGTAGTCTAATTAGTTTCTTCGTTTGGTTTGCAGAAAACCCATGGTTTTGGAAGAACTCAATAAAAGTTGAAACTTTCGAACATTGAGCAGTATCTAATTGGAGTGGTTCTGCATCACTAATGATGTTTTCTTTTGATAAACCATGTGACTTTCTGTGATACAAATTAATGAGTGTGCTCTCATCAGTTGGGATGTTGCTGCCACAGCTAGTTGACACAAACTGCACGAAAAGGCTGGTTGTCCTGATCTTTGTACACAAGTTTCTTTGACATTTATAGAGAGATTGAAGCATTTTAAAAGAAGGGAGCCCTGTGAAAGAGATGTGTCAATGCCAAGATCATGCCTCAAGGGACACAAATTATAAACCTGCTAAAGCAAACAAAAACTTGTTAGCTAAATAGCCTGTTTGCCAAAAAAGAGTGCCTATTAGTGAAAGAAGAGGACAATGAAATTCAACATTGGTGTAATTATATAAATCCTCCAAGTTCAGGAAAAGTCAACACTCCACAAAATTTTGTAATATTGCCAAGTAAACTCCTCAATCTCTAGACACATTAGAAGAACCATTATGACAATGGACCAGCCACGAGCAGTTTGAAATGCTCTGACTGTTTGAGTTAAAGAAAATATTTGAGTCTGGTGTGCTACCAAATAAAAATAGCTCAGTCCAGCATTTAGGTTTTCTTACTTTCAATCTCTATGTGAAATTAGTTTTTCAAACTCAAGATATCAAATCCAACTTGAACAAAAGACGACGAAGGATTAAATGATCTAGTGTCAAATGCCTATTCCAACCACTCCCCAAAAGATTCAGAACAGTATGACAAGACAGATTAATTAATTAAAAGTTAAAGCTGAAGCCAAAAAATGAGTTTCCTCTGGTTGTTTTTTTATTAAATTGCTGTATAATTGCAGATACTTCAGACTGTTATTGCTGGTCTACCAACAGGGAAAAATTGAATTCCTCTATCACTGGAAAGCTAAGGAAATGGTGGAAGATAATGCTTGAGTGAGCAGAAATAGTTATAAAGTTTCTGTTGGTAACTATGAAAAAGTGAGATGAGAGAACAATAGTCATAAGTATGAACAGAAAAAATAGTGCTATCTAAACAATGGGAAAGTCTAACTGTGAATGAAGCAATAATACGAAAGAGTAAAGCAAGAGACTATGCAGATGATGACTGTTGGTCACTCCATGACAGACCAAGAGAGCAAGAGGAAGAGGACCATGAACACTGTGACAGAGAGGAAAATATAATCCTCTGTTTCAATTAATTTGTCTTACTTCCCTTTAAGTATGTTTTAAAAAGAATACCACTTTCTATAATTAGTTCAGTAATTCTTTAATTTCCATATCCCAAACAACATTCAAAGGACATTTTGGTATATTATACACATCTTTAGTTTAGGCCCACAAGATTCAAATTGTGATGTTCAAACCTTGATGGACGGAGTTACCTGGTACTTGTGTTGGTGAGAGGTAACAATTACCCCAAGGAATTAGTCGTGGTGCACGCAAGTTGAACTAGACACTACGGTTATTTAGAAATAGTTTTAACTTTAATTTTTCTATTTTACCCTTAATAAGTTGATTTATAGTCATACAAAGTTAATGGCTTGTTTTAGATCACAAGTTTTCAAAAGTCTTACTTAAATTCTTAAACTTAGTGCTAGTCAAATGCCGGACCTACTAAATATAGAAAGTGGCATTCTTTTTTAGACAAACTAAAAAGGAAAGTGAGACACATAAATTGAAACATAATAAGTACTTGATTTATCACTATTATAAAAATATAGCTATCCGAGTTTGAAAAGGACTTGACCAGCCTTCTAGTTGAGACACTAGGTAAGGTCAACAACATGGACATCCAATCTTGAGATCCAAGTCATAGTCAAATCCAAACTCAACACTAGTTGAGCATCAATGAGGACATTTTCTGCTTATAGTCATGCTTTTTTTCATACGATGTATTCCTTATTTGTGGTTTTAGGGTGAGAAATTCACCTTTTACCATTTTACCTTTTGGCACTTACTATTTACTATTTGGTGCCTCTTCATATTTTTATTGATGAATTACATGACATCTTAAGCCCCCACTTTTTAGTACAGACCTAAAGCTCATTTGGTTTGTCTAGCTTAATTATATTTAGAGGTATGAACAAACTCATTGATAAAGCCCAAGATCTTCAAGTCCCTACCTCTCCCTCGTTCTCTTTTTAGAGTAGATTCTCCGCTGATAACTCCTGTGGTGCTCGTATATGGTATTCTTTCTTCTTCTTTTTTTCAAATAAGTGGTGTTCATATATGATATTCTAGTCAACCACAACATCTAGTCTTTCCCCTTCTATTTCCAATCAATTATGTACTTATAGATCACATTTATCAATTCAATACACTTAGAAGATCTATCCTCAAAATGCATTCACCTCACAACTTCAGGCATAACTTCCTTGTGCTTTTGTTTTTCAAAACATTGCTGCAAACTTAAGTCCCCAATCAAGATCATTTTCACACGTTCTGAACCAAAGAAGAAAACATAAAAGGGGGAGTGTTAGTCTACTGCATGCTTCCTCAGAATAATAAACATTATTTCCATTGTAATTCTTCTTTCTACTATAATCCCACTCATAACAATAATCTCCACCTTAGAAGTGTTGTAGCTCTTCTCTGAGATGAACTCACTGATTGTAGGATTTAACTCAAGTCAATAACACACTTGATGGATGGTGGTGAACCATCATAATATCAAAAGTGAGCGGTTGATAATTAGTTCACTAGCTGAGCTAAGTCCTCTGGTAGGAAAGTGGTTGTAATCTATACAACTTCTAGCATGCCGCCTCAATCGAATAAGGACCTTATTTTCTCTAGCCTTCCACCCAAAATGCTAGTCAGATTCTTAAAACTTTCAAGTCTCAAATCTATCACCCAAAAAAGTAATATGCTTACCTAACTTCTCACTCGCAGTGACAACAATATACTACGCAACAAACATCTTTGTTGAGCTTATTATCCAACTATAATATGCATTACTTCTATGCGAACAACAGGAATCTTTCTAAAGCACTATAGTTTAGACCCCTTCTGAAGACTTAAAAATCATAATGTCGTAAAGCAATATTTCGTATTACTACTAGCATACAAGTATAAGTTAAACATTAAAATTAGTTCCATTTTCCTACACCAACTACATTCCACGTGACTCA